AATTGAAGCTTTTTATGTTACATATATAAATAACTAATATATAACTTTTACACAAAATTTTTTCAAGATTCATTAAATCACATTTAAATAGCAATAATCATTGAACTCTAAAAACTTTCCTTTCATTCCAATTACTTGTTTTATTTTAACAGTCCTCACTGAATGCTATGAATCTTTCTAAATTATTTAAACTTCTTGAAATGTTTTATTTTTTAAAATTAATTTTTAATAAGAAGTATTTCAGGTATTTATCAAATTATAAAGAATAAAAAAGTACCAGGAAATTGAAAAGAAGGAAAAAAACCACAGTACAAAGAAGTATATTTTCATATAAAAGGAAAAATACTTCAGATGTATAGGAGACTTTCTAAACAAAGTAAAAATAAAAATTAAGATCATACCTTCACCAGAAATAATGCATATTAGCGATAGAGGAGGTACTTTTCCACCAGAAAATGTTACAATCAATTCTTTGGCACCATTTTCTCTATCAAAAACAGCTTTAGTTGGTGACATTGACAAATATTCAGCTGCATAAATAAGGAAAGAAAATTCAACAACAAAATTTTTTGCTTTTAAGAAACATAAATATAACGGTAATACTTTATTTTAGAAACATACACACATAAATAAAAAATTAATTAAGCTACAAATTCTCAAATTAGACAGGAAAAATAATGCCAATAAAAAGAAGACTAACCTTTATCATAAACCAAGAGTTCAGCTCCTTCAACAAAATCTTCTACAGGAGGATCTGTAACACTGACTTTGATACCAATTTTATAAGAACCTTAATTTAAAAATAATATTTTGTTAAAAACATAGTAATATATATTTTTGACATGATATAATTCATATAAATTATGCTTTAATTATACTTATTTCATATAAGTTAACCCAAGTTGGATAGCAGCATGTTTGAATGTCGAAAACAAATTCAAGATATTTATTCAGTTTTCGATTAGTCGTATTTTTGTTAGACTCAAAGTATTTTTAACTTCTGATGATGCTTTAAGTTATTGAAGTCTCAATGTAATTACTACAACTACTTTATTACAAGTAGTTAACTATAACTACTTGTTTTGAAATGTAGTGACTACTTTTAGGACAGGACTTTTTCTGGAGAACTTAATTTTTTACACCTAAGTTCAAAATAGTTTTGAAAAAAAAATTTAGCTTATTTAAACATGAGGAATTATTAAGACATATTTATTCATGTTTACATGAGTCAGTTTGTTATTCTAAACTATTTTTTAATAATTTATTCTAGCTTTGAATTGTGATGGCCTCATAAATCAAAGTATCTGCTATTTTCTGTATTAATATAAGTTGAAAAAATGATTGTGGAGGAGAAATTAAACTACACTTATGATCATGATTACAAAATTTGCAGAAAACAATGAAACAAACAACTACTGCCAACAATTATGAAAAAACTTTCTGCTCTGTAGCATCCGTTGTACCTAATTAAGGCTCGGCAACCCCATTTGCATTCTCATTGTCTCCATCTATGGATTGGGGCAGACGTGTACCATTCAGATTAGAAAAATTCATTGTATTTGAACCTTGTTTCGTTACAAAACTAACATTAAATGTAGTTGCTAGGAAGTTACAAACTACTGTTTTTATGTATCAAACTACTTAACTTTTTTTAAAAAGTAGTATACTACACTACAAAAATAAAAGTAGTCACTATGTACAATAGTTTCATTGTTTGTAACATGCTACATCTGACCAATTATATATCAATAATATCCTTATTTTATATTACTTTCATTATATATATCTTCTGTATTAAAAACATTACAATAAACAGGGTGCTCAAAAAGTTTAGAAATGGTCAAATGTCTCAAAAATTTAAAAATACATATAGGAAAATAAAGAAATAATCTAAAAAAACTGAACATTACTTGATAAAAAAAACTTCATCCGCTTCAAAAATATACAGATTGGAAATAATAGTCGATATGTTTCAAACGCTCAAACATAGACACCCATTTGCAAGACTTGCCAGAACAAATTTTCAAAACTCTTGTTTCTTCTCATTCATGCCAGGACACGTCTTGTAAATAGGCGTATATTTTTAAGCGTTTGAAACACGTCGACTGTTATTTCAATTCTGTATATTTTTTAAGTAAATGAAGTTTTTTAATCAAGCAACAAGTAGGAAATATTTTCAAATGATGCATTTGATGATACCAAACTTGAACTCCCTAACTTACTCCTGGGTTGTGAGAAGGGCAACTTTAATACCTTAAATGGGAACTCAAATTTTTAATGCAGATTTGGCTTTTCCAGAAAAATAATCTAGATAGCAGATTTTCACATTTTGTTTGCAGATGGTGCTTTAATCGTAAGACGAAAATGATATAAATTAGATATATATCTTGAGAAATGCAAATCAGAGTGAAAAAATAAAAATAGCCATAATTTATATTTTGAGAAACCTAACTAATGACAAAATCAATCACACTCCATCATCTTAACTGATGGGACTCTCAATAGATTGGGAAAGTTTTGCGTCATTATCAATCATCTATTTGAGACAGAGTTCCACCAAATCTATAACTGAGTTCAAAGTACATTTCTTCAAGCTAAATATAACGAATTTAAATTGGTTAACTCCAAAATGGTCTGAACGTTAAATAATTTTTCTTATAGTAAGGTTGCTTTAAAAAGTGAAAACAAATATAAAATTAATGAAAACATCTTGTGGGGGTGGAGTTATCGACCATGCCAACCGTCATCTATCAAAGGGTACCTCGTGATTGAATCAAGTTAGCATGTCTTATATACCAGTGAATTGATGTTTAATATTTGTAGTGATAGTTACGCTACAATCTATTCAAATTTATACGAGAGAGGTTTTTAGTTTTGGTTTCTACAGAACACCTTTAAATAGATTGAGCTAGTTTTGAAATCAAATAATTCATTTATATTAATGTCACAGATAAAATTTCAACAAAAATGATATTTACCAAGTTTTAACCTAACTGGACAAGTTGCATGAGTTCCATTATGGGATGCATTGATTTCAGTTCTGTTTCCATCTTCATCATCTATTTGTTCTACTAAAACGCACTTGATATTACTATTTGTCGCTCGCCCAAAAGCTCCCTCAATGGCAATCTTAAACATAAAGTGACAAAATTTGAAAAATAAACTGTATGCATACAATAACTTAAACAAAGGACATAGTCATTTATTTGTTGAATTTCAGATCCTCGCCAGATGCACACAAACAAAAACACTCTTAATTATTATACAAAAAAATTTTTAATATTAGGTAATTGAATTTTTGCTTTTTAAAAGGTAGTAGTATTATTCATTTCTAAAGTAATTTAAACCATTTTTTAAAAATTATTATACAAAAACATTTGACATGTATAATATATTCCATTCTCATTAAGAGTAAATAACTAAGTTTAGTTTCACAGTTAAGGAGAACGGAATAAATTGTAAATAAGGAAATTAATAATTTCCCTTTTTTTAAAAATTATTATATAAAAAATTTGACAATTGATTGTATAAATTGAAAATAAGGAGAACATTAATTACTTAAAGAATTGATTCTGTCTGTATTTTTTTTTACATAAATCTATATTAAAGTCATAAAGTTCAAAATACATCCATTTCATCTTAATATTTTAATCATAGGTTCCGCGGCTCACATTTTTTTTTAATGTACTCCAAACAAAACAAAAAATCTATGTTAGAAAAATGACTTTTTAAATATTAACTAGAAAAGAATGTTGAAATATCTAGAACAGTAGATGGTAAGATAAAACACTTCATTTAATCAGTCAGATATTAATGATTAATTAACTTCTCTTTTACTGGCTGTACTAGTAAGAAAATTTTTAAGTTTTAGATTATTTCAGTCAAAATTGTGCAATGGATTAGGGATCTAAAAGGCAGAAAAACTTTCTTTTAAGGGAATGTACGTAACTTTGAATTTTTAGTTGACTAAAATTGTCTTTTTAACACTTAAAATTAAGCTTAAATTCCACATTTTTGAGATATAATATATATAAACATAATCAAGAAATCCTTATCTCATTTTAAAATAAATTATAATTCGAATAATGCAAAGTGAATTGCCATTGAATAGCAAAGTTTAATTTTTTTAAATCAAAAATGTTGAATTTATATCAAAATATATCTATAGAGATATCAGATTATCCAATTATCCTAAATTTTCAATGCCTATTTTCAAAATCAAAATTAACGGATATTCTGAAATTTTTGAATTCGTTTCATATATTAATTAGCTTTTTATTTAAAAAGTGAATATTTGGATACCTATTTTTAATAAACACAAATACAAACAATATATTTCAGTTGCTTGTAAAACAAAACTCCAGTAAGACACAGAAAACAGACAATATATAATTTCAAATTTTAATAGTACCATAATAAATTGTACAAGATTTTAGCACAAGTTAAATCACTACAGATAGTACTCAAACATTGATGTAGTATAGTTTCTGGAAAAAAAACAGCAACACAGATCAGAATAAACGTTACACAAGAGTTATTATTAACCTAGAGTAATTAAAGAATTAACACATATTTAAATGTATGAGGTGAATTTGAAATAATTCAACATTTTAAAGAAAGTAAAAATATTGAAAGAAAATTTCGAAGCACACAATTAGTTATACTACTCTATTGTTTTAACTAGAGAAGCATTCCAAACTAGTTAATTTGAAACTGAACATTTGAAACATTTTTAAACATCCACATATCAAAAATGAAATAAGTGAGACGTTTTTTTTCTTTTTTGAGTTTCTAATAACCCTTTAGGACATTATAACACCGATTCTTTTCTTCGTAACTTCTGATTCTTGCCGGTTTGTCTGTACTCTGATCTTTGTCTTAAATATTCTTCTGTACACTCTTTTTTTAATCCTTCATCATTATACCACCGTTCTAAGCAAGCATTAAGAGCCTTGGTTTCTGCTTTACACTTCCAAGTCATCAAGTATGAGGCTTCTTTACAACATTTAGAAAAAACTTCACCCTCTGCTACACATTTTTCTTTCTTCGCCTTTTCTCGTATCTTTGTAGGAATCATTATTTCTCTTTCCACTTTCCGTAATGACGTATCATCAGGATCACCAAGACCATGAGGTCCACCACCCATTTGAGGAGGCAACATAATTATTTTATAAGAAATATCTAATTTTGAAATTCAAAATTAAATTACGCAACTCACGAAATCAAAATAAACAAGACGATACTACAGCGGATTACGGTTACGTCTGCTCAAGGAGAGGATCGATGAAAGTAACTCAGAGTGGAGAATATCGATTTTTATAAACTGAGAGAGACAGCGCTATTCTTACTGACAAAAAATAAAGAACCGCACGCATATGTTACAGAACGCAAAAGCAAGATATACTTTTGAAATGCATGATATGTACAAAAGATAGCATAAATATACAATATAATTTAAATAATTAATTCCTTAATCTGCTGGGACAAAATTTAATGATCTATGCTCGTAAGAATGCACAGTTGGAGCTCCAAATTCTCGATTTATTCAACAAAAGGAACAGACTTTTTTCGCTGCATCCAATTCGTGTATGCGATTGTACGCGCAAGCGTGAGGAAAAGAATTTATACCGTTCGCTGCATCTTCGATCGCTTGTGGGAGAAAAGTTTTCGCTGAAATTATATTTCATTTATCAGAATTTTCATATTTCCTTGATGTCGGTCGGAGGTGCGACTTTCGCATTCAGTGAGAATGCTCCCTTAAACATCAATGGCAGGATCAATGTGTCGATGGGTTACCATTTTAACCAGCCTGCGAATGGACCGAGGATGTGCGGTATCGAGTTTTGCTAAACAATTCTATCTTAAAGTACTCGACTTCACACAGATTGTTGGGTTTTTTTATTATTGTTTTTACAGAAGCGCGGGAGTCATTCTGTCTGTTGCCACTCACATTAAGTTTGTCAACTCCGTCATGTTTTCGTTATTTTATTTTGTATTACATTAACTTTTGCTAGTGGTAAAATTGCTCTTTCCAGACTTCCGGGTTACTGCTTCCGATATATTTTTACGCCGCAGATTGAAAAAACGCGCCATCATATTATTGCATCATATCTTTTGCAGTATTTCACATGTACCGAGTTCTTTCTTTCAGCCTTTAAACTTCAGTATTATCATATTAATATTATAATCATTAGAATATTTTCTAATTAGGCTAACTTAAAAAGATATTTTTAAAGATATTTTTGGCGACATTTTATTCAAATGTAGCCAAATAGAGGATAAAATACAAAACATGGCAAACCTTAAGAATTATTCACAATGAGATATTAACTTTCCAAAATTTTTTTCGGCCTTACGACCTCTGAGAATCAATACATTTCAGAAAGCTCTTATGAATGGTACAATTATGTTTAGGTTTGAACCAAAATTACAATAGCAAAACTGCATGGAATATTAGGCTTGTTCACACATCGCCTCGTAGTCATAACATAAGCAGAGGGATACACCGGAAATTTTCTAAATTTCTTCCGGTTTCAGGACGCTTGTTATTGTTTACATTAGATCACCCATCCATAAGTTCAAATGTATAAACGCAAGAGATAATTAACATTATCTTTTGCGTTTATGAAACTGGCAATTATTTTTTATGTTCTATTTATGTTTATAATATTAAGTTAAAGAACTTACGATACGTTTGTGCTTAAAAAAACTCTATACGATTTTCTTCTTAAGGATGTACGATTTTGCCTCCAACATACATGTAAATAATATATTTCGTAAATAGTCTTAATATTCTGAGTGTTGTATTGTAAAATAAAGTAATTTAGAACAAAAGAATCTCGAATCATAATAAAGTGGCGCCCGCGACAGGACATTGTACTCTGCATTTCGATGTGAAATATGTGTTGTTATGTATTATTTCAGTACATATTAAATAAATGAGCAGGATCTAGCATCTCGCAAACACATTTAATAACAACTTAACGAGATACACAAACACAAACTGAAACTAAACAGTTAGTACACAGTTACAGTTAATCTGGCTGATGCCACATCTCCCCCTTTTAAAGATTTGGTCTTAGTCTATTCGGAGCTTTCACAATTCTTCCAGAGCGAGTCACAACAGTTTTTGAAGATACATCCTTCTTCTGAGTTAACACTGTAGGATCTGGATCCGTTATTTCTGGTAAGCTCCTTCTGTTATCTCTTTCTGAAAGAGCTTCCTCTAAATCATCGTTTAGCGGTGGAATCTGTAGTTTAGATCCTGGAATCAAATGTTTCCTATTCCGTCGAAGCACTTGTTTGCCTTCTTTAACAAAGTATGACCTTGGTGATTCAGCTTTTCTCTGTACAGTTCCAACAGCCTTCCTATCAGTTATCCATACCTTGTCACCCGGATGTATTGGTTTCAATTCATGAGCATTGTGCCTCCGATCATAATCCTTTTTCTGTCTTTCTATTCTTTTCTCTTCTTTTTCTTCCAATATCTCCTTCTCTATTAGCTTTGGTTGAAGTAGTGAAATTGCTAAAGGTAAGGTTGACTGTAGTCGACGCCCCATCAACAATTCAGCAGGACTGTAGCCGTTCTTTAAAGGTGTTGTCC